ACTAGCTCTATGACCTTAGGCAACTGCTCAGTTTTCTCGTCTGCAAAATGGGGCAACCATTGCAGTTATTCAGAGGATTGAATGGACTAATGCAAAAAAGAAAATTTAGTCTTGTAGTTGACATTCAATAAGTGCCAAATAAATGTTAAATTGTAATAATCAATGATGAACTAAATAAATGGAGAAATAGTCCATGTTCTTGGATAAGAAGACTCATTATTGTCAAGATGTCAGTTAGTCCCAACTTTTTCTACAGAGTCAATGCAATCCCAGTCAGAATCCCAGCAGGTTGTTTAGTGGATCTCCAAGCTAACTCTAAAGTTCATGTGAAGAGGAAAAAGACCCAGAATAACCAACACAGTATTGATAGAGAAGAACCACGTTGGAGGACTGACACTACCCAACTAAACACTTACTATTAAGCTACAGTAATCAGGACAGTGTGGTATTGGTGAAGGAACAGACACGTAGATCAATGAAACAGAATAGAGAGGCCAGAAATAGACCCACATAATCAACTGATCTTTGACAAGGGACCAAAGGCCACACAATAGAGCAAGGACAGTCTTTTCAATGAATGCTGCTGGAACAGCTGGATATCCACATGTAAAAAAAAAAAAAAATTAACATACAGACTTACAATTTCTACAATATAACATTGGTAACAAAATCTAAATGACCTTGGGTTTGGCAATGACTTTTTAGATATGACACCAAAGGTGTGATCCATTAAAGGAAGAATTGATAAGCTGGCCTTCATCAAAATAAAAAGTTTCTTCTCTGCGAAAGACACTGTCTAGAGAATAAAAAAAAAAAAAAAAGCCACAGACTGGGAGAAAATATTTGTAAAAGACATATTTGATAAGGACTGTTAACCAGAATATACAAAGAACTCTTAAAACCCCACAAAAAGAAAACAAACAACCCAATTAAAATATGGGCCAAAGGCTTTCATGGACACCTCACCAGAAAAGATATTCAGATGGTAAATAAGCATATGAAAAACTATTCTCCATTTGTTATCAGGGAAATGCAAGTTAAAACAACAAGACACCACTACACACCCATTAGAACGGCCATAATCTGGAACACCGACGACAACAAATGCTGGCGAGGATGTGGAGCCATGAGAACTCTCATTCATTGCTGGAAGGAACGCAAAATGGTACACCCGCTTTGGAAGATTGTTTTGTCAGTGTCTTGCCAAACAGAACATACTTTTACCGTATGACACAGCCATCATGCTCCTTGGTATTTACCCAAAGGAGCTAAAAACTTAGGTCCACACAAAAACCTGCGATGGATGTTTACAGCAGCTTTATTCATTAGCTCCCAAACGTGGAAGCCACTCAGATGTCCTTCGGTAGGTGAACGGATAAATAAACTGCGGTTCATCCAGACAATAGTATATTATTCAGCACTAAAAAGAAATGAGCTATCAAGCTGTGAAAAGACATGGAGGAAACTTAAATGCATATTACAAGGTAAAAGAGGCCAATAGAGCCCGGCCGGGCATGGCCCAGCGGTTGAGCATCACCTAGGATCCAGGAGATCGCGGTTCGATTCCCAGTCAGGGCACGTGCCCGGGTTGCGGGCTCGATCCCCAGTCGGGGGCGTGCAGGAGGCAGCGGATCAATGACGCCTTTCTCGTCATTGATGTTTCTCTCTCTCTCCCTTCCTCTCTCTGAAATCAATTAAGTTATATTTAAAAAAAATAAAAGCCAATATAAAAAGGCTACATACTCTCTGATACTAACTATATGGCATTCTGTAAAAGTCAAAAATATGTAAAAGGATCAGTCGTGGCCAGGGATTGCAGCGGGGGAAGGGGGAGTGATGAGTAGGCAGAGCAGAGAATCTCCAGGGCAGTGAAAATATCCTGTGTGATGCTGTGGTGGAAACATGGAACACATTTGCGCAGATCCACAGAGTGCACCACACCGAAAATGAGCCCCGACAGAAACCATGGGCCTTGCGCGGCGGCCATGTGTCGGCGTTGACTCGTCCCTTAGCAGGTGCCCGCTGTGGGGGCGCTGATGGCGGGGCGGCTGTGCGTGAGTGCAGGCGGGAGGCAGGTGGGAATCCGCTGGGCCTTCTCTTCGGATTGCTGTGAACATAAAACTGCTCTAAAGAGTAAAGTCAGTTTGAACATGAGAAAGTACTCGCCGTGGTGGCAGTGATGGTGGTGGCCAGGGTAGAGCGCCCGTCGTATTGCCGACTGTCACTGATGCCCTTTTCCTCATAGCCTCTGTTTCCTCCTCAACCAAAATCTCGGCGTTCCCAGAAAAAAACAGCGCTTTTTCTTAAGCCTCCGTGTTGTTTCGCTTTTGCTCCCGCTACTTAGGATGCCTTTTCCTGCCCTTCTGCCCCTAACATCTCCTCATGCACATTCAAGCTTTAGCGGAAGCCTCAGCACCCGTGGGAAGCTGTCTTCCGCTCTCCCAGGGGACTCGGGGGGCTGTTCCTTGGGACCCCCGCTGCCTCCTTCCCCGCCTGGCACGCTAGCAGTGATCCCATTGCACCGTAACTGTTCGCAGGCCTGTCTCCTCTGTATTCAAAGCAACGGAGAAATCCGGCCCCTGCCCCTCGCTTTGAATGTAGTTCCTACATGGCGTTAGGGTGCACCAGGTCCTCAGGGATCACTCACCGCATGGTTGCCTTCAAGATGCTGTGATATTAGTAGAGAAGCCATTTAAATACCTACGCAATCGGCAAAGAAGAATAATTTTTGGCGTAAAAGAATGTCATCCATCTTTTGAAGCCTGGCCCGTGTTCTGCTACGGGCATGAATTTCTCTCTAACACCTTCAGGTGTCATCTGTGCTACTCTCCGTAACATCCTGAACGGCCCCGGGTCTTACATTGTCCTGCAGCGTCCTTTAATTATTTCATTAATGACGCTTGTTTTCCCAACAAGACTGAAAGCTCCTGATGGATACCGATGGCCCTGTACTTCACAGAATCTAGCATGCGGCCAGCTCACCAGATGCCGGGCTGGGTGGCGCCTCCTGGAGACATCAGGATGTTGACTATTGGGCCAGGCAGCTCTAGATGTCCACCCTGAAAGCATCAACTTGGAGTTCTGTGGCCCCAAGAAAAAGATTAGTTGTAAATGTCTACAGCCATACTGGGGATACATAAGCATCATCTTTTCCAACAACCACAATTAATAATCTTGAGCATAGTTCTTGTATTTGTTCATTCTTCCTCCGTTAGAAAAATAGGTTGAAAACAAAAGAAACCTTAGATGGGAGTGGCTGGCGACACTACTTCTGTCCTGCTTTTTCTGCACCATTTATTGGTCCCCTGTCTGTCAGACGCCATCCTTGCCCCTGGCCTTTGTTAGAAAGGTCAGTGTTAAGCCCTGTCTCTGAGCTGCTTGTAATTTGTACGTGCAGTCTCCAGCCTACCCAGGTAGCTCACTGGGCGGCTATCCTCTCAGATAACTCCAGCCACTGTTCCAGGTACTGGTGAAATATGAAGAGGTTTTGTAGGATCCACTCTGAAGGGCCTCCTGTAATCAGTCAACACCAGGAATAGTCTTTCCTACTCTAAATAAGTGTGTTCATGTGCTTTGCAACACCTCCCCAACAAACCCTCCCTACGAGCACCGCCCAGGCTGGGAGCTAGGACTTTGGGTAGGAAGAAAATAAGTTCCAGGTGGAGTAATACCTAGAAAATGTTTTCCTACTTCCTGTGTTTCCTGGTAAACTCTCCCTTTCTCCCAAAATAACAGTCCAGGTTTTCTGTTTACCCCTTTCAGGCCCATTAGGCAAGGGCTACCCCAGTGCAAGAGCAGGCCCACGAGTGGTCCACAGAGCCACACGTGTTGACATGAACAGGTGAGGAATCGGTCAGTCAACAAGTACTTTTAGATTTTTTTTTATTATTGATTTTTTTTTTTTTTTTTTAGAGAGAGAGGAAGGGAGAATGAGAGAGAGAAACATCAGTGTGAGAGCGAAACATCAATCAGCTACCTCCCACCCCCACCAGGAATCAAGCCCACAACCTGGGCATGTGCCCTGGCCAGGAACAGAGTCACACACAACCTTTCGATGCCCAGCCACCTGAGCCACACCAGCCAGGGCAACAAGTACTTTTAAATACCTGTAAGCATTTATCCTTTCTTAGTTAGCATGATAGATACAGAAGGACTATAAAGTCTTTTAGGTTCATGGAACTAACACACTTTATTGAGAAATTACTGGGACAGTCACTGCCCATCAGAATTTCAGAGGCTGATAGAAGAGACCAGAAAAGAGGCAAACATGGGAAAGGGGTAAACAACGAAGACCAGCACTAGGTAGAAAACAGGCAATCACTTCTCTTTGGTTGTTCATAAGCAAGGGGACTAAGTGAGGTCCAGGGGAGGAAGGGCTTCGTGGAAGCTGTGGAGTACCTAGCTGGCTGTCACCAACACGACTCGTATAGAACGGTGTCACTGAAAAGGTGCTTTTCAAAATACAGTCCTTGTCACAGCCAGTAAGAGCCTACGGAGACGTGATGACTAACTGTAAGATGGGATCCTGGAGCAAAAAAAGACATTAGGTAAAAATCTGAATAAGCTGTGGGCTCTAGTTAACAACAATGTATCATTATGGACTCATCAGTTGTATATTAACGTGCGATGTTAGTAACAGGGAGACTGGGTGTAGGGGAACTCTCTGCACGACTCAATTTTTCTGTAAGTCTAAAGCTGTTATAAAAATTAAAGCTGTTTTTTTTAAGCGGTCTCGCAGCCTACAGGTTATCCCTGGCACGGTGACAGGAAGGAGTGGGTTCAACAATGACCCGTTTTTGAAAGAAGTGACTTTGTTGTTAAGTGCCGTGTTTGTGGCTTCGCCGTCGATGGGTACAGCGATGGCGTTCTCGCCCGCTTTCCCATGCTTGATTTTTGGCAGGCGACAGCGGCATTTGTGCCCTGATGATCATTTGGAGACGCGTTGTCAGTAACCGGGGTGTCTAATGGATCTTCATCTCTAATTACCCCTCTCTCCACAGGTGGCTGGAAAGGGTCCGGATGGGAGCGCGCACGGCGTCCGCTTCGAGGGCATGGAGAGGCAATACGCCTCCTTACCCAGGTACGGCCCGCCCGCTCCCCTGCACATAAAGCCCTCACTGCAGTCTACACGAGAGCAAATCCGGCTCAGAAATAGGGAATATGGTATAATTTTGCCTCGCTGCTGTCTGCAGCAGCCACAGGGCCATCTTCACAACTGTGCTAATAATTGAAACACTTGTGGGTTATTTTTAAGGGAAGAAAATAGTATATCATTGCAATTGAACATGTCAGCAAGAATATTGGATACTGAATGGAAATCCTGAGCCATTGCTATAAAAATGGTATTGAACACCCTGCACCAAGCTCGGAGACAATAAAATAGTAAATCCTCTGTGCTAGGAGGTACCCACGAGGAAGGGCAAGCCAACTTTAACCCTGGGAGCTCCATATGGGTGGTAAAAAGCAGGAGAGAAATGTGAACCTGGGAAGGTGTCCTTTGCTTGATTTGGAAACTGACCGTGTTCTTTAGGCAATAAGCAGATATTTAGGAGAGGCAGGGGCGCAGTGCGGGAAAGGGAGAACTGCGTGGGAAAAGTTCGTCTGGCGACTCTGGCCTAACGTGATCCACCGATGCTGTAACTGCGGTAACTAGACACCCCTGAAAATGAGACTCGGTTCTCAAAGGTCAGTGCTCTTATCTGCGAGATGAAGAATAATTTCAGCCTGCTCTCAGTAGCACATGACAAAGAGGAAACCTTTCCAAACGTACATTCATTGCAGCCACTATGGGAGTTCAATGTGTTGAGAGTGTGAGAATTAGTGAGGTTTGGGGGTGGGACAAAGAAAGGTCAGTGACAGCCAGAAAACTGAAATGTTACAAAGTATCTCCTTTCAAAAGGAGAGGAGGACCCTAAATTGAACCGATCATCAAAGCTGGGTGTAAAAGTGCTAACTCAGAACTGGAGTTACCCCGTTGTGTGTTGGTTACAGTTCTGTGTGTAAATTCATAACAAATTATAACAAAAGTAACATCCTGAAGATTATAATAGGAAAAGCCTAAGTGACCATCTGCTCTGATACATAGTATGTTGATTGTCAAATGTAATAAAATCTCAAGTCAAGCAGAGAACCAGTTTTTAACACGGATTGGGCAGGATACCCAAAATACAATATTTTTAAAGCTTCTGTACCACTATATTTTTTACTCCCTCTTTTATTTTTTTTATATTTTGCCTCACAGTTTTCCGCATCCTTGATTTCCGCCCTCTCTCTGCATTTCCCTGGCCTAGTACTTTGTTTTCATTTTAAAAAGATAGAAGTCGTCTCCAAAATTTGTTTTAAATATAAAATTACTGGCTTTCAATGTTAAAGTGTATGGAAATTGTGGTTAAGGCAGATGGAAAGTAGTATGTTCTTGTGAGAGGGGAGAAAAAAAAAGGAAAACTGGAAGCAGTTTAACGTCTTCCTGGCCAACCTGAACTCAGACTGAGGAAATGGATTTTTTGGTACAAATCAAAAGCACAGACAGAACACTGAAAATTCTATAAGTTTCCATCATTCATTCATTCCCCATATGTCTATTGCTCATCTATTCTGTATCAGGCCCCGAGAATGTGGAGACCGGAGACACAGTGAGTCCGTCCTCAGGACCCTGCAGTCTAGAACAGGAGGCAGCAAATCAACCTTTTATGACGGCCCTACAAACGCTTAGATCCGTCATTCTTAACATAAAGTCCTCTGACTTTCCAACTTCTGTTTATTTTTACTAATAAGCCCTGAAATACTCTATCATGGCTGAATCTAAACAAGTCTAATTTAGGATTGAATACTGTGGAGGGTGTTTTCTGACAAAGGCTATACATTTATGCTGTTTGTGGCCCTGGAGCTACCATCACAATGTATGAACTGATAAAATCCTGCCAGCCCCGAGAATATCCCTGTAGCTGAACGGAAGCATCTTGACAAACAGTCCACTCAAACACAAACACAAAGGCAGGAGTGGTTAGCTGCACATGCAAACAGACCTTTGTAGCTACCTGGCAGCCAGGTTGCCATGCTGGAGAAAGAAGAGGGCTCTGACACATGCCCGAGAGGTCCCTGGCACTGGTTTTTAAATGGGGGGGGGCTCAAACTCGAGTTTCCATCTCAATATCTAAAAGGAAGGTGCAAAGGAGCCTCAGCCGTGTGCTCCAATCCTTGAGGGGCTGGGAGGGCCTCCCTATTTACCCAACAAGCTGCAGAACGCGGAGGCAGTGGATACCCTGCTGGCTTCTGAGAAGGTGTGCGGATTCCGCTCTGAGCGCCCGCGACAGTTACCCTGGTATCCTGGTCTTCCAGGCCTGGAGATTTTACTGTCCACTTACCTGAATCACACCAGCTGCACTGCTCTCTCCTTTAAATAAAAGTAAGAATAGTTCTATCTCTAGGAAGTCGATGGCCAGCCTTATAAGGGACTTAATATGCTACTGACTGGTTTGGTTCCTGTGTTGTTGGTGGATAGTTTTCAAGATAAACTCAGTAATGTGGATTTATAGGCCAGATTTGGAGCCATTGACCCAGAGAGAAGTTGCTTCCCAGTGGGCAGGGAGATGGTAGGTAGCCCAGGTCGAGGGGCACCCTGCCGTGCTCTCCCGGAGCTCTGTCATCTTTAGAGCAGGCCCATGCTGCGCTTCCAGGCTAAATGGCACTTCACAACATTAAGCCAGCGCCCTAGCTAGTCCAGGAAAGACAATTCCCAGCACTTAGTAGTTATGAGGCTGCCTGAGGCTAAGGGCTAAGCGATGTTAAGTGTTATTGTTAAGCAATGTTAAGTCTCGGAAGAAAAATGGCTTTCTTTCTTTTCTCCTGGGGGTGTTGTTTTGGAAAGCAGAGCGTGGTTGTAATACAGCCTCGTTAGCAAACGCCAGGCTTTTACCAAGGCCCATGTTTTACCATCCTGTCCAGCCCCTGATTTTGTTTGGTAGTAAACAGAATGAAATCAGCATTCCCTTATCCTCGCCTGACACAAATTGTTACTCACCCTGGGTGAGTAGGGAAGGGGCTGTAACAAGGGGACATCGATGTATGCACTTTTGCTAACGGTTTCTTTTTCACGGCAGCCTCCCAGCCCCAATTCAATTCTCCCTGGCCCCGTTCGGGCTCCACAGGCTTCCTCCTGGCCAGTCCCTCAGCAGTGAACTCTCACCCTCCTATCTCAAGCCTCCATCATCCCCACCTGGCCCATCCCTGGCCCTGTGGGATCCCATTGTCCCCTCTCTGCAGATGGCTCCATGCATCAGCACATGACACTGCTCTTCCGGGCTCCGAATCAAGTGTTGAGTCCCAAGGAGCAAGCAGAAACGCTCCACATCTCTTCTGTGATCCCACGTACGTGGGCGGCGAGAGGTTGCTGGAGAAACTCATAAAACTGCTTTCACGGGTTTCACTACAGAATTCACATGACCCAGCCCCAGCTGGGCCCCCGCTGCTGTCCAGAGCCTTTTAGTCGCGCTGTCGACTCCCCTGACTGTCCCACAGTGGCCATTCCAACCCTTTTCTACTCCCGTTAACTTCTGTGAAGATGACTAAGCCCCCAAGCCCGATCTCCAGAGATGACCTCACTTCCTTTCCTTTATGACCCTGAGATAGTCAACATCAGCTTCTCAGCTGCTGCTCCCTACTCTGCAGATTCCCTCTGTCGTCTTCAACTCGCACTTCCTGAGGAAAGGCGGAGACGAGGCCTTGGAGTCAGGCCATAAGTGCAACCCCAGCCATCACTTCTCACCTGCGTGACCTTGGGCCCAGGATCTAACTGCTCCGGGCTCAGTTTTTTCATCTGCAAATTGGGGATGACATTAGGGCCCCTGTGTAGTACTGGTATGAGTATTAAATACAATAATACAAGCAAAACCCTTAGTGAAGAGCCCACCTAACATATTTTAAAGACTTGTTTTAATATCGTTAAGTCTTTTAATTTTATCTCTGGGGGAAGATGTGTTCCTTTCTTTAACGAGTCAAACTCGTACAGCAGAGCTCACTCTCACTGGCTTCTCAGGGACCCTGTGCCAACAACTGGCCCTCTCTAGGCTACATCTTTAAGCCCCTTGGCAATTGCTTTGCTTCCCCTGCCTACTACAGTAAAATGCAGAGGCTCGGCTGCACAGTTCGCTGAGAATCCCACAGCATGGAGAAGGAGACAGCTAATAGCTGCGTGCGGGAGGCTGCGGGTATAAGTGAGGCTGAAGGATTAGCCAACTCTGAGAAAGGACCAGTGGTCCAGATGGTCAAGGGCAAGAGGACATAGCAAGCTGAGATGATCCGAACAAGCTGTGCTATGGACATGCTAAGAGACAGCAACTCATATAGATGGAAGTTTATATAAGGGATGCAGGAGGCTGACTCAGGTGTAAGCAGGAAGCCATGGTCTATCCAACGAGACTTAGGCTCAGGCTTAGAATCTCTCCAGTGGTGGAGACCATATCCAATGTGAGGTGGCCAGGAATGCTGAACATGATGCGCTCGTTCCCAGGGCAGAGAGGGTGTGGGCGCAGCACTCTATTTACCGGTGGGAGGAAATCCTGAGATATTGCCAAGATCCTCCTGTTGGCTCAGGACCGGGCAGTGCTGAGCATGCAGCTATAATGACTCATAGCCGAGCAGGGTTCAGGTGGCAGGGCTTACCCCATGAACTTGACTCTAGTCCATCAGAGAAAACAAAGGCCTTCCCTCAACCTTCCTTCCTCCTTTCAATTCCCGCATTTCCTACTTTAGGAAAAACTGGCCTATACTTGTCGGCTCTATTTCCACCCCACCCACTGACACTCTAGCCTCTTGCCCAGGCTTCTGACCCTGCCATTGATATTTCCAGCTGATCCTGCCTCCAGCCCTTTCCTCTGTGTAGATTCTGTCTGAGCAGCCTGCGGATTCAGTTCTCATCACTGTGATGTTGATTTCAAAGTGAACTGGCTGACCTTCCATCTCACTCTTCTCGTGACCCAGTTCCAACTGTCTGCTTGACACATCCATCCCTTCACCTCCAAGACACTTCAAAGTCCCCAGGCCAAAAGCCAAGCCTCCTTTAGCTCTTCTCTCTTTAACTTC